AGGTTCGAACCCAGCCCCAGCCAAACTGCAACAAAAAATAGATGGGCATTGTGGCGGGCACCTGTAGGCTCAGCTACTCAGGAGGCTGAGGCAAGAGAATCACCTAAGCCCAGGAGTTGAAGGTTGCTATGAGCTGCGAGGCCACAGCACTCCACTGAGGGCGATAAAGTGAGAGTTTATATCCAAAAAAAAAAAAAAAAAAAAAAAAAAAAAAAAAGAAAACCACCACTATCACAGCATTTCCAGATGGTGGTTATTAGAGGTTGGGTGACTGTCTTCCCCTGTAACTAAAGGGAAGGACTCTAGTCCCAGCTCAAACCATCAATCTACAACAGAGGCTGGTGGTGTGGAGGTACTAGTTGCCTTTACCAGAAGCAGAACAGATACTGAGCTCCAGGAGATTTCGGGGGCCCTTAGTTTTCTACCTCTCCTAAAAGCGAGCCCACACTTCTCTGCAAGTTGATTCTGAACTACCACAGAGTTGAACCCCTCTCAACCCCCAAGGAAAGAAAAGCAGAGATTCTACTTTTTGAGGATCCTGCCCTCTCTCCCAGAAAAGTTACTTAAAAAGAAGTGGCAAGGCTCGGCACCGGTGGCTCAGTTGGCTAAGGCACGAGCCACATACACCTGAGCTGGCGCATTCAAATCCAGCCCAGATCCACCAAACAACAATGACAGCTGCAACCATAAAATAGCCAGGTGTTGTAGCAGTCACCTGTAGTCCCAGCTACTTGGGAGGTGGAGGCAGCAGAGTTGCTTGAGCCTGAGAGTTGGAGGTTGCTGTGAGCTGTGATGCTACAGCACTCTACCTAGGACGACAGCTTGAGGCTCTGTCTCAAAAAAAAAAAAAAAAAAAAAAAAAAAAAACTGGTGAGGCTGGGCGCAGTGGCTCAAGCCTGTAATCCCAGCACTCTGGGAAGCCCAGGTTGGGCAGACCGCTTAAACTCAGGTGTCCTCAAACTGCAGTCCCACATGCCACATGCAACCCTTCGAGGACATTTATCTGGCCCGCCAGGTGTTTTTGCTGCTGCTGCTTGTCCTGCTTAGCAGCTGACTCCTCCTGAGGCCCGAAGTCCGGCCCTCCAATGGTCTGAGGGACAGTGAACTGGCTCCCTGTTTAAAAAGTTTGAGGATCCTTGCTTTAACTCATGAGTTCAAGATCCGATGGAACAAGAAGGAGACTCCGACTTCAAAAATATCTGGGTATGGCTCATTGCCCCGGGGCTCAGTGGTCAGGGCCCTGGCCACATACACTGTTGCTGTGAGGTTTGAACCCGGCCCGGGCCTGCTAAAAAATGACAATGACAGGCAGGGCCTATGGCTCAGTGGGTAGGGCGCCAGCCCTATATACTAAGGATGGCGGGATTGAACCCAGTCCCGGGCAAATTGCAACAACAACAACAAAATAAATAAATAAAAACGACAATGACAACTAAAACAAAACAAAACAAAAATAGCCAGGTGTTGTGGCAAGTGCTTATACTTCCAGCTACTTGGGAGGCTGAGGCAAGAGAATCCCTTAAGCCCAAGAGTTTGAGGTTGCTGTGAGCTGCAATGCCACAGGACTCTTATGATGGATAGCAGGGTTCCTGGTTACCCAGGGAACCCAGGGCAACATAGACTGTCTGGGGAAAAAAAAAAAAAAAAAAAAGCCCGGCGTTGTGGCAGGCGCCTGTAGTCCCAGCTACTTGGGAGGCTGAGGCAAGAGGATGGCTTGGGCCCAAGAGCTTGAGGTTGCTTTGAATTATAAGTGCCACAGCACTCTACCCAGGATGACAAAGTGAGACACTGTTTCAGAAGGAAGGGCCAAAACCTGGAATGCTTTTATCAAGACCAGCCTGGCCACATGGTTCATCTTTCTTACCTGACAATACTGGGTCTAGGGTCAGCCCAGCACCACTCTGAAACATTGTGAAATCAACCCTCTTAGATGTGGGGTTCTGCGTTCTCACCCAGCTTCACAAAAGACACTGTCCTCCTCCAATTTCAACCCACGGGCAGCCAAGCAGAGACACCACACAACAGCAACCCTGTCACTCTCCCACAACTGACTGGAGATTCTCAACAACCAAGTAGAGCCATGATGGGGTTAAGGTCCCCAAAGGCCTGCCATCAAGGTCTGAGAAGGACAAGGCTTTCAGGAGCCAAAACAACCCCACCACACGCAAGTGACTTGAGGATAGATGTAGAGCCCCCGCCCCTTGCAACTCTTCAAAGTGAGAGTTGTATATTCTTCCCTTCCCCCCAAAAGCAGAGATCCAGACCTAGATTCTCAAGATGTCACGCCATTGGTGGACCACTGGCAGCAGGCCTCCGCACTGCTAGGAGTGGGAGCCGGCAGCGCTGAGCCCAGCCCAGCCCAGCCCAGCCATGCCATGCCATGCCATTCTGCACCAACACACCGCACAAGGGAGGGAGCAATACCGGCCCCCACCAGGGACTCTGCGGTTACTCTCCTAGACCAAGGGGAAGGGCTCTCAGGGTGGATAACCAGCCCTTGGTTTCCTGGGCAAGAGCAGAACAGGACAGGACAGGAAGGGTCTCTCGGCTCCGGAGTGACACAGCAGAGGCCGGAGGCCCCGCAAAGCTGTCCCCTTTCCCATCAGTTCTTGTCTCTGCCAGCTTATCTCCTAGTCCTTATTTGCTGATAGCTTCAAGGCTTTTATCCACCACCCCATCCCGCACATCAATCCTCCACATCATGCCATTAACCCTCCCAGCTGCTGGTGATTCCACGAAGCCCACTTCACACTCCCTCCCTTTAGCATATGGTCGATGGACGAGACGATGTCTCCTTTCCTTGTAGGGTCCTACCAGGCCAGCTATGGGGTCCTGGCTCGCCTGCCAGGGCAAAATCTGAGGAGGAATGAACGTCTTTAGTCATCTCCTTCCCAAGTCTAATTAAATTACTGGCTCATCTTTGCCAAAGCCCCAAACTCACCTCTGGGACGGTGGGGAAAGCCCCCCGGCCCTAGGACTCCAGCTCCAGTGAATTAAGGTGTTGGGCGACCGGCTGGCCCAGGCCTCCAAGGTCACCGGGAGGGGTCAGGGTGGAAAGGGCAAGGGAGTGAGGGTGCCGCCCGCAGGCCCGGTCAGCTCCGTCCAGCCGAGGCGGGGTCCCGGCCACGCGGGAGGTGCGCCTCGGAGGAGGGCAACAAGGCGGGTCCGGGATGGGGAGCGAGCGACCGGCGGCTGCAGGAGTGGGACATATGCGGCGTTGCTCGCCCGCTGCCGGACGCCCGGACGGCGGCCGGCGCGCCCCGCGCCCGGGAGGGCGGGGAGACAATGCCCGCCCGGCGGGGCAGTTCAGGCCGCACGCCCCCGCCTGCTGGACACGGGCTGCTCCTCCCTGAGCTACGGACAGCGGCGGGAAGGCACCAGGAGCGATGGCCAGACCGACCCCGAGCGAGGCGGGAGGCCTCGCTCGCCTTCTCTCGCGCCCACCTCTGCGTGCACTTCACCCGACAAGTCCGGGGGCCACAAACCCACCTCCTCCTCCAGGGTGCCGCCGGAGCCCGTGCTAGTGCCCGTGCCCGTGCTGGTGCTGGTGCTGTGCTCGCCGTCCGGCTTCAGGTTGCTCATGGTGCGGGGGGAGGGGGTGGCAGGGGAAGGCAACGCGGAGGGCGAGCGCGGCGCCGGCCCCGGCGGGGAGGTGGGAAGGGGCGCGGTGAGCGGTGCGCTCCGGGGGTGCGGGGCGGGGTGGCGGTGGGGGCCCACGGGGCGGTGAGAGGGGCAGCAGCCGCTTCGGGCTGGGGTCACATCAAGTTTGGCGAGTGCAGGAGGCGGGGAGGAGGTGCGGCAGGGGAGGCACTAGGAACCGGAGCCGAGCTGGAGCGGCCGCCACCTCCGCCTTTTCACTGCGACCGGCTAGTACGCCCGCGGCGGCGGCGGGGGGCGGGCGCCAGGGGAGGGGGCGGGCGCCGGAACCGGCCTCAGCTGGGGCCCGGCCGGCCCCCTCCCCCGCCCTCCTCGCGGTCTCCGGGGGAACGCGCAGCCAATCCCCGCCGCCCACTGCGGGCTCGCCCCGGCCCGGGCCACGGCGCGCCGGCCTCCGGCTGGGCCTTTCCCTTCTCCCTTTGGTCAGCTCTTTCCCTCTCTTTTCTCCCACTCCCTTCTCTGCGACAAGTTTTTAAACTTTGATGAACTCGCCCAGCGAACTTTCTTAAAGGGGCCGCGCGCTGCGCGCAGTCCCAGCCCGCGGTGGGAGGTGGAGCCGGCTGCCCAGCACGGCGCTCCCCCATCCCTCCGCATCCCCCGCCTGGTGCCCCACGCGAGGAGCGCCTGCAGCGGGACTCCCTGGTAGTCGGCTCCTCTGTATTCTGATCTAGGCCTTTGGGATGTCCTGTGTGTGCTTTTCGCCCCAAAATTCAGTAGCCCCAGTGCCTGTCCGCGCCCTCTCCCCCATCCCGCGCCGCCGGCTGGGAGCCGGGTTCTCCTGCCGATGGCGGGCGGTTGGGCTGACACCTGGGCTTTGGCCCGGGCTCCGGGCTGTTCTGCTGAGTGACCTTGAGGAAATCACTTCCCATCTCTGGGCTCAGACTCCAGCCCAGAGGGTGGGACTTAGGAACGCAAACTCCCTTACCGCTCCCAGTCACGGAATAGGACTCAGGGCGGGACCCTAATAGTTGTTAGTCCTGAGCGAGAGTACTTGCAATGACCATTGCCCCTGCCTACAGCGCGGCTTTTGGGTCTTATTATTCTTCTTCCCTCAGACCTTTTCCCTACATCCTATTCCGAGCTCTAGGGCTGGAGAAAGGGGGAGCAGCCTCGAGGCTTGGGCGGGGTCGGCTGGACTCCCACTGGGGCGGGTCTTTAGGGCGCGGCTGCGGGGTTGGTTTTCTTCTTGTGTTTGAATACCTGCGCCGACCTGGACTGTCCCCTGCCGCCACCTTGTAAAAATCCGCACGCACCTGGGGTTATACTGGAAGCGCTGCAGCCCTGCAGAGCCGCCTGAGGATTGGGTCCCTCCCGTGCGCCCCCGCCCCAAGCTCGTACTGCACCTTAGGGATCCTAGCCAGGAGGTGCCATCCGGCCATGAGAAACCACTGCCGAGAAGTGAGGAAACTCCCGCTGCACCTGGGCCGAGGTCAGGCCACACCAAGTGTGATCTACCGCCAGGCGCCCTGCACCTGGGTTTTACGCTGGGATCAAAGCTCTGCGTTGGTGAACCTGGAAAAGCTGAAATTGCAGTCACCAACCAGTTAGGATCCCAGACATTGGACTAATGGCTCAGAACCTCAGTATGCCAACTTGCTAAATAGGGCTAGCACCACCATACAGGAGTGCTGTGGCTTATACTCCCCAGTAAATTATAATTTCCATCCTAACCTGCCATCTCATTTAAGTAAATTGAGGCCAGGAGATGGGCAATATCTTTTCCCATGATGCAGTCGATCTTTTGGTAAATACTTGAGCACCTACTGAGGGCTGAGGAACCACGTTCTGCTGGTGGTAAGGCCAGAAGCACCCCAGTTTCCCATTGCCAGCACCCACCACCTCCATTGCTAACACGTGGCTGCGGCCCTCCTATAAGGGAACTACGTCCTATAGAAATCAGGCCTTCGCTCAGAATTCTCAAGGTACTTTCAGTCTCTGGCACATCCAGGTGGAAACACATTTGTGAATCCTCAGGTACCCCAGGATCCTTCACAGGCTCCAGTCCAAAACCACAACCACCGTTCCCTTCTCTAGAGTAGATCTTCCCTCTGGTTTGTCCCCCTCCAATTTTGGTAGGAATGTTCTTCCTCCTTCCAGCCCCTATCTCCCCCTCCCCCTCCGTGCCAATGCAAATCTTCCCTTCCCTTAGGATCCTACTTCAGCCCTGCTTCTTCCAGGAGGAGGAGCCTGGACAGTTTTCTAAACTCTGGTATCCCTATACTACATGAGTTTTTCTTTTTTTTTTTTTTTTT